TTTTCTGTAGAATTTTCGACTCTAACAGTATACCTGTTATAACTGCAGTTCTGGCTTTCATACTGTAAATTATTTTTAGAGAATTCCAAATGTGGACGGGGAACTCGCGTTTCAAAGGGAAGGAGGGCAAAACCTTTAAAAGTTCTAGTGTTCCAAGAGAATTTCCGGTACACTTCAAACCCTATCTGAAGGCTATGAGAAGACGAAGAAGTCCTGATTAGTAATTAATCTTCGGCCTAATAATTTAAAATCCCAATTAATATGGTGGCGAGCTAAATGGCACATTCTAAAATTCTATATAAATTAGCTCTTAGTAAACATTTCTGTAAGTCGTGCTAGCCATAGATATTATGGAACTTGCTTATAATTATTGGGGTGTTACAAATGTTTTAAATGCACAAAGTAAAATTTTAAGGTGGCACCCACCATTGGGTGCCATTGTTCCCAAGGGTTGAGCAAAATTGTCAGCAATTCCACCGGCGCATAATCCGTGGTGTTTCCGCCACAGAACCTCCACTAATGCATTGAGAAGTGAGAGGTTTCTGTAGAGTAATCCTCTGTACTTCTCACTATCATGACTCACAAGTGAGTGGCGCATCTTTTTGAACATAGAGAACCTTTGTAAAGGAGAAGATAAAGAGTCTCCATGAAGGAAGACGTGTTTGTTTTGTAGAAAACAAAGACGCTGTAATCACACAAACATTGAAGCAACATTTTACGAAATAACTTAGTTTTCTCAATCAAGGGCTGTTTCCATGAAAAAAAGATCCAGTTTGTACTCCAAATTCTGAAGGCCTGTAACTTGCTCATCAACGATGAAAGATGCGGTGTACATAATTGAATATTGAGATGTCAAAAATAATTTCGTTGAGGCAGGTCACGGGACTAAACAGAAACCACTGTATTCCACATGACGCAGAGTGCAGGGCTGCCGGCAGAACAACTGACTCTCACGAAGGTCTCACTTGGCCATACATTCTTGTTTTTCAAACGGAACGAGTTGCATTACAACGGGGAGAGTTCAGCAGGTAGCACCGCCAGAGGGCATAAATGCTGTCTATCATTATCTGATATTTGATGAGATAAACGGGCGCGGCATACTCTCCTGTTGGTTTGATTCGAGTGAAAGCCGAACATCACGCGATTGCAACCAAGAAGACGCTGCGATCATAGCTCAAGAATCAGTGGACGGGTTTTCGATGGAAAGCTCGATCTAAAGCGATGAATAGTAATCAGTCTAGAGAAGCGCTGCGCTCCAAACATATGGAGGAATTAAGGACAAGACAATTAGATGTTGAAAAATTCTGAAGGCTACACCCTGATAAAGCAATCTTTACATTTATGACTCACACATTCGATCGCCTCTAGACATCCAAGTTCAAAGATGAATGACCGCCACGTGAGCTTATAAGTTCTTCTCACAATCAGTCTAGAAAAACGTGATTCTGCGAGATCATTTTGAATACCTTAGCGACAGCGCGCGTTTTTACGGGGTACCGACAGGAGGCTTATCGCGCGGCAAGAAGGCAGAGTCAGCGGACGAGTCGCAGCGCGTGATGTGCGATGTAGGACGTACAATGGTACATTCTATTTAACTTGACGCGAAATCACTACAGTACGCGCTGCGTGCGACTCGTCCGCTGAGTCTTCCTTGTTGTCGCGCGACGAGCCTTCTGTCGTGAACCTGCCTTTACGGCCAAGCGCGACTTTGGAAGCGAGAAAAGAAAAATAAGTTACAGCTGCATCACTCAACCAAGCCGGTAATGTTGTATTTGAAAGGTACCTATCGAATGAATATTAAAGGAGGATTCCACGATAAGAACGAAGGTCGAAAAAGGGAAATTGCCTAGTTGGGAGACAGGCGGACCTCCTGAGGGTGCGGACTGACGCGCAATTGGCAGCGAAAGATTTGACCTCGGCGATCTAGCATGGCTCACTCTTGGCGCGGTTGGCGGGTACGCCCACCGACTATCTAATCACTCGCCGCAGGTCTATACGCGGCGAGTGATTAGATAGCAGAGAGAGCGTTAGAATGATTAGATAGCAGAGAGAGCGTAGTGTTGAAGAGGGCACAGCGATGAAGTCGCATCAATGCTCAAATCAACGGGCAAGGAAGGGGTCCCATTTCTCGGGTTCTGGGCCGTTTCTCATGGTTTTCCTTCTTTCGTGTACCACTCACCATCCTAACTTAATTTGAAATGGGTTGCTTTTCATCGTAAATTCTGCAGTTAATCTGGAATGAGTTTCGCATGCGCGAAAATGAATCCCAAAGGGTGACATCATAGGGCGTCACGCGACCTGCAAAGCGTGATAGCCTGTGGTGCACGCTTCATCAAGGTGTTTGAATTAGGTTTCTGTCATCATTCCAATAGCAAACAATAGCGGTATGGGTTTATCGAAGATGACTTCATGCTGTGTTCCGTTTCCTATTCTCAACCGGAGGAAGTAGACGTAGTAAGTCTTTCGACGATAGCCGATTTTGTTTTGATATGCGCCATGTATTCGCAGCGTTCAGAGTCGCAGTGACGTCTGAGTGCGCATTTGACCTATACAATGACTTGCAACGCCGCCAGTGTAAGTTATAGCCACAAATAGTTTCTCTAAAAACCGATCTTGGGGCGTTTGAGAAATATGATGGTCCGATCTGATAAACGGTTTTCCACAACCCGCTGTTGATGATGTCGGGCTCCAGTCATATCAACGGAGAGAAAGAGAGGAAACTGGAAGTTTATGTTATTGGCTTCAGCAACGGTGAAGTTCGAGTTCGTCAGAGGAGGAAAGAACCCTTTTAATTTATTTTGCATTTTAATTTTATTTTCATTTAGCAATTACCCCATTTATTATTTATTCACTCAATGAAGCTGCGACTAAGACAACCGGCGTGTGTAAAAATGCAAAGTTGACTGCTACAGCACAAAAACTAGAGTAAACAAGCATATTTCAACACTCGCCTAGATCAGCGACATGACTAAATAGAATGTGTCCGTAGGAAATAATGAATTTGTCAGCATTGGTGACCCTTGAAACTGAATGTGAATGAGAAGCTCCTCGAAGAATTTTGGGCGAATTGATTAGGCCATTTGTCTCAACCTTTGGCCTAAGCACTGTAGGTCTTGCAAGAGCTCTAACTTCATTGTCAGCAGGTCGATCCAATTCACCCGTACGCTCCGGCCTTAACCACGTTGATGACAGTGCGAAACGCATGCGCCTCCACATGTTACTTGTTCCCTTCCCGGCAGTGCTTCTTTCCTATTTTTTGCCTCTATTCCATAAAGTCCACCACAACATGGCCATGCATGGCAAAGATCACTGAATAGTCAGATATGCTTCATTTTAGCGAAGGTTCTCTAGGTCCTAAGAATTTATCAGTCAAACTCATTTCTGGTTGCCTTATGTTCTCATGACCATGTGGATGAAAAAAATAATACATGAAGAAGAACTATTAGTATGGCATGATAAATGTTTTCACCACAACAACTGCGCTCAAAATACCTTTGAGGCTCACTGTAGCCCAATAAGCCCCTGAATCTTGACCTTTCATAGCCACAACCCGTCATTTTGAAGGACGCCTTACCACTGCACCTCTCGATAGCTTAAAGCAACAGTCCAGGCAGGGTTTCAACTGCTTGGTCATTAGGCGGTCAAAAGATGCCCCAGCCCTTTTTCTTTTCACGTTCGACCACTTTTCACCTACAACTTCCATATAGGTGCTTTTGGCCGCAAATTCGTTCCTGGACTGTTGCTTTAATCACATCTAATCTTATTGGAAACATTGCATCGCTTCAAGTATTGCGCATTTTACAGCTCGAGAATCCACGGATGTGATTTGAGGCGACAGCGATTCCAAAAACAGTCCGATTTCATGCGGTGAAAAAAAAAACCAAAATGCGAGCTGCAGTCAACGTGTTGAAGATGCTGAAAGCTTGAAGCCATCTACAGATCTCTGAAAAAGGCGAAAAATCCACGGTAAGGCCAAATAGGAAAGATTCCATTTTACAACCTCATTTAGCAAAAGAATACGAAACAAATAATCTACTGTTCTCCATGCGTAAATATGTATGTTGAGAATAAAGTGTGTGCGTATTTGTTGGGGCTTTGGTACTTTAGGGGCCTCCGACCGTCGGCATGTTATCAGCTTTGAATCAACATCGCCGGATTTACGATAATTATGTCACATTGGAATGTGTCAAAGGAATTTCCACGCAGGTGATTCTAGTTCGGGGAACCCCTTCCGCAGATCGTCGCACACGTTTTTCTCGTTTGGTAGGAGTCACTTGAATTCAGCGTGTTACCAAGTGTAATGCCCTATTTATTTTATACGTTTTATCCTCTATCTCTGCGCGTTATTTTAGCTCCTCCATATTGCATTCCAGCAAAAGAACAACTAATGATGGGCTATTTAACTACGGTATAGTACTTGAGGCAAAACTACCACGGCACCTCGCATAACGAGCGTGTCGAAGATCTCTGGGCTACATTCGGCATACTCGAATCGCCTGCGAATTCTGCCGTAAGTACGGCTTGGCGCCGTTTTCAAAGTGGTAATTGCTGCTAAGAACCATGTGCCAATAGAGTGGTTTTGATTTCTAATCCCCTCCCCTGAACTATGGGAGGAGTATGGATGAATGCGATGAACCCAACAGTACTGACCTGTTCTTTGTCAGTTTCGCTCTTTGGTCTCATCGGACGTTAACCTCTATTGTCTTGCTGACCCATCGGACCACATTACCTCCTCGCTGGACCATTGAGTCGACACGATCTGCCCAATATAGTCGCTCAGCTCAGCCCACTTTTTTTTAAATGTTCAAGGTTCTTCACTGTTCTCTACATTCATGCTGTTTTGTTATTGGGGAATACTGGGGGATTTGGGTACCAAAACGTACCCGAATCTGCCGTGGGATGACCCGCATCCATTCGCATCTCTCAGATCCGTTTTCGAGTCGTCTCGCTATCTCCCAATATATTTCCTGTTCAATGGGTGCAATCCTTTGAATTTTAGGATGGAGAAGATCACGTTGTGCTCCTTAACTGGACTACGTCTCTTCTTCTTTGGCTGGGTGTTGACCACAATCACCAACTTTCCTTCCGCATTCACTCATACGTCGATCAATTCAGCCGTCCTCAAGATGAATGAGTATCTGAACGAGTCGTATACGGATCGATACCGCCCTCTGGAACAGCATGAGGTATTTTGGTTTGGATCAAGCCCTTTTCCTAATCTTTTACACTGCATCTTCAGGTCTCATTGATCAAGTCAGGAATAAACAGTGTATGGTACGCCGGTCAGGTGGCAGGGGCACTAATGAGCCCTTATGTATGCGATCACTGGGGCAGAAAACGTGAGCTTCTTTGATTTTTTCTCGAAATCTCATCTTCTTTATCTACGACGCTAGGCTAAATTGAAGAAAGGAACCTGAGAACGTGACAGTCACTTTACTCTTGAGATCTCTAACGGAGAGCGTGCTATGCAGGTGCTTGGCGTGATCGTTCCTGCTCGCCTATCCTAAACTTATAGCGTTCCACTTCTGCTCCACCTCCTCTTTGAATAAATGAAATACGAACATTCTCCGAGAACCAGCCTTTTTTGAGGTGGCCGTTGAGTACGAATTGTGTATACAAAGACTCGCAGGGCCAGTCGATGGCTTAGTTAGTGTTTCCATCTTCACAAACCACATGGTCAGTTCAGGACCAAACCGAGAATCGTCCCTTCTTCACCCACTACAAAGAGATTTGGAACACCGCTAGTGAAAGGTAGCCCTTTTGTGGGCGGGTGAGCCTTATGAGGCCTACCAAGGCCTTACTCGTCCTTCAGACGCGAAGTCAAAGGCACCGGCCAGCCCTTTCGTGCTGCTTTGCTGGGCTTTATGCTGAATGTTGTGGAGAGCAGAGAATGGGTCCGAGGTCGTACGGATGAACTTCAAACTCGTCCTAGAAGCGCCTCAGATTGATGTCTTACCTCAGGAACTAGAGCTTGCACGCTTCTGGTCAGTGTCGCTTGCCATCTCTCGAAGGCTTGAGTCCTGGCGTGCAAGCAAAACCAGTCCCTTTTGGCAGAAAGCTGCTGACCAGCTTTCACCCGACTCGTCATACCCTCCATAACTGTAACCGACCGAGATAAGTAGTCCGTCCCGATCCGTCGGAACGCCCATACGCCTCCCGGCATTCAGCATACGGCCCCAGCATAAAGCTGCCAAACGCCTGGTGTTTGCTTTATTTTCTCATCTCTTATATTTTTGAGCCGCCTCGACGTCTACAGTCCGTCCGTCCCCGCCCATCGTATTGTATGCGGACGTTCCGCGCCATCAGACACAGTTCGTTGCGACTTTGAGCGTTTCAGCAGGGAGTTGCGGAGCGAATACGTTCAAACGGTGTTGGACGCTCCGGACTCAATGTGTCAGAGAGAGAGAGTTTCTCTGGGAAACCAAGGGGTCACGTTCTTTCAGTTTCAAGGCCGTTTCCCCAACCGCGTTCGTTAGTTGTGCCGCTCTCCTGTGTAGAAGCTTTGGTTTGCAAATCCTTAGCGGTTGTTATTATCGCCCGACTGCCTTAGTGCACGGATTTTGCAAGCTGTCTTCCATCCTTCCCTTGCAGAAATCTGGGTACTGTCAATCGAAACAAGCTAACTAATCTCTATGATAACTGGCACATGCTCTCCTAAACACCTTTCACTAATTAACGCAAGATTCGCTAATTTTTCTGTGTGCTTTATTACTGTTCAATCTGTAAATATTTACCGTGTGGGTCGACGGTTAACGTCCAGTTTTAGCAGCCTACATAATCTCAGTCGTGGTGATGACGGTGGCGTGTGGAATGCAGATGATTGCGTCCCTTACTCCTTTTCCAGAGGTAGATCGATCAATCGATCATCCTCTCTTTTTTGAAGTTATTGCGGTGAAGTCATTCAAATGCTCACCGCTTCGGTATTCGTCACCATTTCATGTGCTTCAGATTCTGATTGCTGGTCGAATCGTCACCGCTGTCTTCTCACCGCTCAGTGATGCTGCCCTTATCCTATATCTTCAGGTACAAGTCCTTTCACTCTTGGTTGGGGTTGAGGCGTCGAACATTCCGGCTCATGACTCCATTTGTGAATCATTTATGCCAACCTGTACCTAAACATTGCTTAATTCCAGGAAATTTCGCCATCAAGTCTGAGAGGAACGATGTCGTCGCTCTTCTCAACCGGATACGCTGTTATGTGCCTTTTCGGTGTACTACTAGGCCACGAAGACGTACTCGGTAAGATACCTGTTCGCCTGGCGTTTACAACAGTCCGATGGTTTTGAGCATTGTGTTCTAGTTTACAACAGTCCAACAGTATTTTAGCATTTATAACTAGGGTCAGCCGCACGCCTAGGAAATCTGGTTAATAATCGTCCACCACTGAACAGGGTAATGTGACCTCTCGGGGTTACGCAATCTTCCAAACCCTCCCTCTTCAGCTGAAGCCCCTCCCTACTTCTGCCTCCAGGTTCCATTATTTTCCATCCCGTAAGAAACTATACTCAATGTTATCTGCAAATATCCGCCGGCCGAGAGGAGGGGCTCGGTTTCTAGTGCTAGGAACATCGAAAATTTCGGGACTTTCCAATAGTCTCATGTGATTCTCAGAATTCCATGAGAAATTCTAGGAAGAGTGTAGCAATCCTTCTAATAAATCTCAGCAGCCTAATCAAATCTTATCTCACTTCCGGAACTGAACTGTCAATCAAGCCGTATATGACCTTCTCTCCCCATAGAGCCATTGTAATTATCAGCCATTTTCGACGCTGACTAATCATTTGGTAACCAACGCAAAAAGGATTGCTCACTCT